CTTGCATCTCAACATAAGGTCCCAGAAAATAGACACAAACGCCATCTCTACAAGTCGCCTCCATCAGCAAATATGTGAAGAAAAGCAGTGCAGAGGTTGTTATGGTACATTGTTTGCCTGTTGAGTGAATTCTGACACAGCTTCTTCCTCGTTTGTTTCGTTCAACATGGGTTTGCTATCACCACACACTTCTGTTTTGGGGTCAATGTTGACACATATACTGCATGCACACATTCTGCAGCCCACCTGGGAACTGGCCAAATATGTAACCTAATCCATGTCTAGTTGAGAGCGAACACACACATTCACACACGCATACACATACACACACACAAACCCCCGGTGGGAGTAACTGGGCTCTTGGAGTCAGAAAGACAATCTGACTGGCTTTCAAAGACCCCTGACTGTCCAGTCTGTTTATTCAGATGGGAGCACAGAACGCCACCATTTCAAAGTCATTGCATTACTTTGTTTTGATCTCACTGATGAAGAACATAAGTTTCAGTGTTCTGGTTGGGCAGTTGGAGTGATAAAGCAGGCCCTTGGTGCTACCTACAGTTCAAGCTTTATTTCACATGTGATGTAGCAAGTTTAAAGCTAAATTAAATATATATACCTAAACAAAAATATATATGCTGTTCTCTACACTATGTCAGGTCACTATAGGCAATTACTGTAACATGAATCAATTAAAACATGTTTTTAGTTGTCTGTGCCTGAAGTGTCAGCAGATCTGTGTGCGAGTCATCATTTGTTCTCATTAGTGTTTCCTGGAGAAATCAGTAGCGCTTGAGGAAATCAGGTAATTTGTATCCGCAAATAAGGATAGTCGACCCAACAACGTCACGTCATTTGTAACAAAGTAGTAAGTGTATTTGTGTGTGTACTGTGTGTGTATATCAGTGTGTGTCTATTTGTGACCATTTTGTTTTACAATGAAAAGGCAATTTCTGCATTAGTCTTAGTAATGGCAATGAAGCTGAGCATCATTAGCTCAACACTGCTCTCCAGTGGACACAAAGTATAATGACCCACATAAAGTTCAAGTCAGTTGTGTGTCGAGATTTTTCTCTTTATGATGTAGTTATTCTACTGCATTAAGGTATGTGACGTATTTTAACTATACAAACCACCAGTATTTTATATATTATGTAAGTCAGTGCAGCATAATACTGTAAAAATGAACTGATACTATTAGATGGCCTTTTTTAAAAGATATTTTCTTTGGCTTTTTTAACCTTTTTTTGATAGGAACAGGTGATGATACACAGGAAATAGTGGAGGAAGGGGATGACAAGCACACTTTATCACATGTGATAAATTCACATGCAGGAAAAAAAAAACTCTTGGATTTCACATTTTTTGTAAGTATGTTTATTTCTCTATATTACTTTTAATGGTAACTTTATTTGGATAGTCCACCTACAGATAGTTAAGAAAGTATCTGTAAGATTTCAACAGGTCATAAATTGAGATTCAACAGCCATTTTCTGATATCACCACTGTGGTTAAGGTTTGGTTAGGTTTTGGCACATAAAAACATTGTGGTTAGGGTAGGTTCATGAATTCTCAAATATTCTCTCTATATATAATCTGTTAAACATGTAAAGACAAAGCAAAACAGTTAAAATGTTACAAATACATTTATATAGTATATATAAAGTATAGTATAGGTATAGTATATCTGTAGGTGGACTATTCAAATAAAGTGGCATCCTGTTGACATTGAACAGAATAGTGAGCCTGCAGCTACAAGGGCAATGTTTTCAAAATGAAAAAGCAACCTGGTTAAGCACAAGCAAAATAATCTGGGATTAAAGATGGAATAATCAATGTCCTGCAAGAACTGCAATACAAGGTGATTCACTTAAAGAAAACACTTTTTAGAAACTGCCATCCAAACTTTAGGGCCTCCAATATGGCTGCCGCAGCAGAGGGTTACTTAGTCTGAAAGTCCTCTGGTCACTGTACCTAATAACCAAAAATGAAACTATCAAGATGAGAATGAAGCTCACATAAACAGAACTGACCAGTTATAAGTTAGTTAGCACACTTTGTATCATCACAATCCCATACTTTCTCCCAGGAAACCACACCAACAACAACTCCCTATTAGATGCCATTGCTCCATTAGTTATATCAAAAGGAATCAAGCTGTTTTTAAGCTGTCTGATGAGAGCAGCCTCAATCTATGCACAAACATATCCAGAGAACTTTTACCTTCATGTCTCTATTGCTTGTGTATGCAGCTGAGTGACATGGAGTACAGCTTTGTGGTTAAAGCTGTTAACAATTATTCTCCCACAGAATTGTAGGGACAGCCAAACTATAGTGTCTCTCATAACATGCAATTTGCTAGAATACAGTAGAGGTAACACAAACAATACTCGACATCCGATAGTAGGCCTAGAAATATAACCTTAACCGAGGAGCAATGCTATTGTGCAGGGATTCAGATGTATCGTATTTTGTACATATTACACACAAACATATTGTTGAACTTTTACAATTGTGTGTTTTTATATGTTATTGTTAAAGGACCAGTGTGTAGGATTTAGTGGCATGCAGTTGCCAATTACGTGTCCTGTTCTGCAGAAATAGCACCACCCTGGCTACAAATATCTTATGGCCACTGCCCAACATATTCACACAGGCAAACATGCAATGCATTAATGTTGTGTTTTTGGGTGATATATTTTTTAATTTGAATGTCTCAAAGACTGCATGCCAAACTAAAATTTAATTGTGTTTAACATGCAATGAAGCATCCAAACTAATCCTAATAGAAATCATCAACCCTCAGTGAGCACCAGATATAAGTTATTTTCCACTACTGCTTTCCTGTTTGGATGGGTAATTTCAGCACAGTGGTTGCATGAGCATGCAGATGTGAGTAAGTGAATAATGTCTGGATAATATGTGAGGTGCAGCAGTTATGGCGAGGTCGGGAACTGATCATTTTGGATTTTATGTTGTACAGTACGACTATAATCTTTAGGAGAAAACGAATACAATTATTTTATTTCATCATATACCTTTTTAAAGATAGAAAAGTTCACAACAATAGACAAAGAGCAACATTCCCAGTAACTAACATTGTTAATCATAAACAAACATCCCACTGTGCTGTGCCTAATGTGGGATGTTACATTTTCACTCTGAAAAGCTTCTCTGTTGTTTGTGGAATCTATGAAAAATTTAAATGTGTTCACTTTTTATCACTATAAATATTTTTAAAACCTCTTTTAATCTTCTAATGTGCGTCTGTTGACCAGAAACTTCAGAAAACAACCCCTTGGCCCTTACATAGTCTGATATGTTCTATTACACATTGTTCTAGTCTAATCTACTCTGTTCTATTGAGTTGTCTTCTATACCCCCGGCTTATCATTGGCGCATGGAAATGGGAAGTACAATGACGTCGACCAATGAGATTATAGGTTTATTCCGAGGGCTTGGTTCCGGAGTGGCCTGTTATTATTCTGAGTAGCAGGTGAAATAACGGTAAGTAATTCTGATTCCTATAAAAAAAAAAAACAACAACTGTCTGTTTCATGGCTAATTTTAACTGCATAGACCATAATGCAAGTGTCGACCATAGCTCGTCGCTTTGAACAAGTCGCGGTCTCGTTTAGATGAAAAAGTGGGCACATCAGACCTCGGCGTGCGCTCTCTTTACCTGCCTAACATTCAGAGGCACTTGAACACACCACTATGATAATAATCAGTCAGTGCACTGACATGGCCTACATATGGGAGACGGCCGGTGTAGCTTGTGTCGGCTTTAGGGCCTGTTGTTTACGTGTAAACAAACGGGAGTAAGAGGATTTCTTATGGTGGTGTCTTCCCTTCAGAAGCCCCCCCCACCCCCCGTCACTTCCAGATACAAACCAGATTATCTGTGTCGCCCACCATCTAAAGTCTGCAGCAGTTCCCCCCCCCGGCTGTGCACCGGCAGGACCGCCGCTCATCTACACCTCAACCAGGGCAAGGACGCGATATTAGAGAGGACCAGGGTGCTCCGAGCTGTCTTATTAACTTAACAGTACAGTACAGACACAGAGAAACATTAACCGCTGTCCATCTGCCGCGATCCGTCTTCATTTATTTATGAGTGTCACCTAAAGAAGCACAAGGTGGTGCTGTATCTCGTTTCATGCATTGTATTTATCCATAGCTCTCCCCCCAGTTGGACAAAATGAATATGTATGCTGTGCCCAACCCGGGAATACCAGGCTGTCCACCAGGGTTAGAATACCTGACTCAGGTGAGAAATACCACTATAATAGTCTGGGATTGCTCTTTACATAGACTTGTTTACTCTTATGCTATTAACTGCACCTTTTGGCACTGTAATTTGTCAGCAAATGCTCTTGTATAGTTCTTATTTGAGTTTTATATGCCTCTTATTCACTTATTTCTCTTACTTTCTATACTTATCTGCACTTATTTCTGTCATTGTGCTGCCGCAACCACCAAATTTCCCCTGCTAGAGATGTAATACATGTTAGTGTCACTCAGTTGGCAAGCTCATTGCCTACATAAATTTTGTTTTTTTTATATTAAGGGCAGAGGAAATGAGCACCTCTTCCTCTTTCTTTAAATATTTCACATGGTTAAGATACAGTGCCACCAAGTCCGCAACCCTCCGCTATTATGACAAGGCAAATTTTCTACTGCACAAAATGGCCTATTGGAAAAGGGAGTTGCTGATAGTTGATGCCGTTGTTGTCACCCCTCTGCCAGCCCTGCAGTCACTTCTGCAAACTGAAAGTGCGCACTGTTTCTGCTGGAGCATCTTATACACATTAGCAGTGCTCAGGGAAGTATATAACAGTGTCCACAGAAACACAATATACAGGTTCACTGAAAAAGAAGTGACTGCACTGCATATGTTTATAACAGCTCAGTGGCCCATATTATCTTTTACTTGCCAGATGCAAAATGTGAGCATGCTTATGGCAGTCTTTTTTTAAACCCTCGCCTCCAGCTACACCTACTCCACTGAAATGCCGCATGTAAAAAAACAAACAAAAGTGCATCAGTTTGAATCAATTGTTATCTGGTTTTCAAGGTGGATCAGCTCCTCATCAAACAGAAAGTTGAGCTCGTCGAAGGTAAAGCACGTCAACATGGATTTGACTTCTAAGAAAATACACAATTCATGGTTTGCAGGGTTTAGCAATGACACCCTGACACGTATTGTTTGTCCACGCAGCCCTCGTTGGTTTCGAAAGCAACAACAAGTATGAAGTCCGTAACGCAATGGGCCAGAACGTGTTCTACGCTGTCGAGGAGAACGACTGTCTGAGTCGACAGTGTTGCGGCCCCATGCGCTCCTTCACAATCCACGTCCTCGACAATTTCGGACAAGAGGTCATCACCGTCACCAGGCCACTTAAGTGCATGTCTTGCTTCTTCCCTTGTTGTCTACAAGAGGTGAGTGAAACCACTTTCAGACATGCTCACTTTGTCTCCATGAAATTACAGTGTTCGAGGTGGATTGTTTACACTTGATGTCGTCTAGTTTTACATGTTCCTTTGAAACACAATTTCTTGTGAGGATATGACTACAAATCACACTCAGTTCTCCCACAATCCCTCACTCAGCTGGAGGTGCAGGCTCCCCCTGGTAACACAGTGGGGTACATTGTACAACAGTGGCACCCGTTCTCCCCTAAATTCATCGTTGCGAACGAACACAGCGAGCCTGTACTGAAGATCCATGGGCCCTTCTGTGGATGGAGCTGCCTTCCAGATGTTGACTTTGAGGTGGGTTTATCTAAACACAGAAATCCATTAAATTTGTGAAAACATAACACGACATGGTTACATTCTCTCTCTGCCCTCTGGACATTTTTTTGTAAGGGATCCTCCTCGTGCTCTGAAGCAGGAAATATGTTTCCAATCAGAGCGAGCTGTAGCTTGGATGAAGCCATCACACAGGGCATGCTCTTGTGTGGTACAGTGTGGCCATTGTTCCACGGCTCAGCTGGTTTTATTAGATTGAGCTGTGAAGGGGATTTGGGTCAGTGATACAGACCTTTTACCAGACCCAAAGGAGGGATAACTGAAGCGTGATATTACCATCCTGGTTCCTCTCTGGCAGCTTTGAAGTCATTGCTGGGGATACAAAACTGAAGTTACTGTGGCAGCGGGCAAAATCCTGAAATTGGATGGGATTATGAATTGTTCCATGAACTCCATCCAATAAAACCAAACAAGTTTAGGGATTGATCTTTATCCTAATGCAACACATGTCAGCAGTTTCTCTGTTCTATAACTCTCTCTGCAGATTTTGACAATGGATGAAGTCAGTAAGATTGGGAAAATCAGCAAGCAGTGGACAGGACTTCTTCGGGAAGCGTTCACAGATTCAGACAACTTTGGCATCCAGTTCCCCATAGATCTGGATGTGAAAATGAAGGCTGTAATGATCGGTGCATGTTTTCTCATTGTAAGTGAAGTAATAAGCATTTTTATGTATCTATAGTAACAGAAAGTAACATGATTAATTATAAAGTTATATTTCTTTTTTTAGGATTCTCTCTCTGGCAAAATAAGAGCAGCTATTGCCAAAATGTGGCTGTTACATTTGCAGTAGCCTCATATGACCCTGCTCTCGTGTGTTTCTCTGCACTGGTAGTCGGAAATTTCATGTACCTACCACTTAATGTACCACTACATTTTGTGGGAAGTGTGACCTGAAACCGCCCCAATCACCAGAAATGTAAAACAGCTTGTCAGAGCAACTTTCTCCCATTTGCTAAAATGCTTAAATGCAAAAATCTCAGCATGTGTTCACTGTTAATTTGGCAGTGACATATCAGTGAATAGATTCTACAACTTAGCTGATATATTTCAAATGTCAATGTATTGCTTTTGCTTTTTTATTAACTTTTGTCTTCTTCTTGCTTCTGTACAGGATTTCATGTTTTTTGAGACTACCAACTAGGAGCCAAACAGGATATCCTTGTAAGCATACAACATTCCTGGAAGAACAAGGCCACAAAGCCATAATGATCAGTCCCAATTGCCCTAACAGAGAACAACCTTCAAACAGATAGTTTTCTTTAAAAAGTAACAAAAGGTACCTAAATGTTATAACTTTGCATGAACAATGAAATAGAAGGTTTGTTTTAGTCTTAGCTGCTCAGGTTGGTTGTTAAAACACATTGCCAGGCTGTGAGTGCACAGTGCAGTGTTTTTAGACAATGTTATTAAGGGGGTTTTCATTTGTGTTTACATTATGGTCGCTGAGCCCATCTGGGCCCAGAACCTTAGTTGCTACTAAAAAGAAAAAAACAAAAACAAAAAACAACTTGAATAGAAGGATAATATCCATATACAAGTAAATGAAAAGGGAATATCATTACAGGCAAGTGCTGTTATACAGTTTGTAAAAGAAATGATGGTCAGTATGCAAAAGGGGGTCAGCCACATGGTACTTGTAATGTGGTCATATTAATAGTCAAGATGTTAATTTATATAGAAAAGTATGCTTGTAGCTATATTCTGTGAGAACTGAAGGACTCATGTAATGTAGTAGTTTGTAGTACAGATATTCAATGCTCTTATACATTGAGTTATATTTTGGTCTGTTAAACAATTTGTCAAGATAGAGCAATGTGTGTGTGTGTGCACCGCTTTGTGTGCGAGTTTGTGCGTCTGTGTGCTATGATCCTTGTAATAATTATAAGAATAAGAATATTTTCGATGCCATAATGATTATGCATTGTCAAGCCTGAAGAGGTTGTCTACTTGGGAACAGATGGGTTATGGCTGGATGTAGTGTCCCAGTCTTATCCACAAGAGGGAGCTAGCTTTTCATTAAACAAAAAAAAACCAAAAAAAAAAAAACCCACACACTGCCCAAATGGACAAACTTAATACCTGCTTATGCCATAGGTTTTTATTCAAATATTAGTGTCTGATGACATTGTATATTTTTGGACAAACTCAGGTTGAAATGCATGCTACTGTAGTATAGTGTTAGATACTCTGGCTCCGGGAATTACACACCTGCACCTGATACTATGAATACAAAGATTATGATTTTGGTTTTGTACATTCAATCATCTAAATATCAGTATTTCATGTACATTTCCTGGTGTATGAACTTGAATTTTGATCTTTATCACTGTTGCATTACACATGGTGTGACAGCTCTACACGTGTCAAAAATACAAAATAAATCCCTAATTTCCATCAAATGACCATCGATACTGCTGCGCACCATGTTTAACTGTAAAATTCAAATATGAGTATGGCCATTCGTCTGATCTGGGATGGTATAAAGTAAAGTGTTGTAGCAAGGACATTATCTATGTGCTCTTCTGCAGCATCATGGTAAAAAATACTTTTCCTTCACATGTATGTCATCTGTGGTTCTGGAAAACTGGAAAAAAAACATCCATCTTTAGTCGTTTATTAACTTATATACGTCTTTAAGGTTTAGAGGCGTTTATTTTTGTAAAAAGTATTATTAACTGCTAAGAGATAATGTTTCCAGTAGAGTTAAATGTGATTGTGTTAACAGTGTTTTATTCTGCCTTTAATATATTGACTGTTTGTAAAGATAAAACTGGATTTATTTCACCTTTTCTGAACAGCAACTCGATTTTAAGACTAAAAACAAGTACTTTAGATGGATGTTTTTTGCTGTCTATTCTGTCTTCACGGCTGAGGTTGTCGAGAAACTACTCATTTAAGTAAATTCGAATTTCATTCTTACCATTAAGATTAGCCTGATCATTGGCATGTCTTGTTTGGTTGAAAGCATTAATAGTATAAGATGCTGGTGCTACATCCTCTGAAGGCTCTTTGATTGTGTTTAAAAAGCCAAAAATTAAAGTCAGAATGTGATACAAAGGGATTTTAGCTATTCCCAGTAAGTTATATTAAAAACAATTTAAGTACTTATTCTTCTACTTTTGCACTAATACTGTGAACTAATACACCATTTAGTCGTGCAATGAATGCAAACAAACTCTGTGAGCTAAGCTTAAAATTGTGCAAATAGTCCATAGAAACACTTCAATAAAAAATAATATTGTGATGTGTGCAGTTCTTTTGATTTTGGTTTATTCTATCAGCAAATCCATTTAGCATTAAAAACTACTGATCTTCAAAAAAAAGATTATTTTTTAAAACGTTAGCACTGACTATCTGGACCCACAGACCACAGTGAATACAGTATTGTGTTACAATGGTCAGACCTTGTAAATGGTCATGTAAAACCACTGAACCTTGCTTGTTAATCAGTCAAGTTCTCTACCTACTGTAATTACCACCTACACATTTTTTAAGCAATTTTCTTGAACAGTCCTTGTGAAATGTAAATGTAATTTTTGGGGGGGCTGAAAAAATCTTGCTTGCAGAGTAATTGACTGGACCGATTCCGTCAAACATAGATGTCCTTGAGGGATAACATGAAAAGGGAAATGAGAACATTTTATTTTCTCCCCTTTCAAGTAAGCCATTAACCTGAAGCTGTTAACCTTGAGTGTGACCTAAAGAACTCTCATTTAAAACTGCCTTTTTAAGCTTTTTTTAATCACACATCAATGAAAAGAGCTACTTTGGGTCTCCGGAAAGAGCAAGGTTGCAGTTTGGAACAGCTCATACAGTATTTTCCCCCAAACTGTTCTGTCTGAGGAACAATATTACCATTTCATGCATAGATTACATTTTTTATTTGTTTTTAAAATGACTATATTCTCCAACATTTCAGTGTGGCTGATGTCAGTGTGTCCATGGTTATTGTCAATATGCTGGGTAATAATTCTTATAGTCCAACACATTTGAGGCCATAGTTTACATCTGGATTTTTCACATTGTACTAACTTACTGAAGAACTGAATTTTGGTGACTCATGGTAACCACATTTTGGGACGATAATAGATTTTACACATTGCTTGGCATCGTCTTCTGGAATATCTGACGCAGCAGTGTTATAGTTAATGATGCTGTGGTTGGAAAACAATGTGAACTGCGAAGACATGTACATGGAGAGCCAGGGTGGACATAGATAGATAGGATGATTTCTTATTCCATTTTCTCGTCATCATTAAACAATTTTTAGTCAGGCAAGGAGCTCGGCTCTCAGTATGTCAATGGTCGTCTGCCAGTTGGACTGCTTTTTGGGTTATTATCTATCATCACCTGTTATTAGGTCAAAATTCTAAAAGGTTATGTCCTAATTCAACTTCTATACTTTGTGTTTGGGAGTATCATGCACACATGCTAAACCAACATGGTGAATGTGGTAAACAATATACCTGCTAAACATCAGCATATTAGCATCATCATGGTGAGTGTGGTTGCACGCAGACAGTTGAGCAGTGCTGAGTATAGCCCCACTAAGCCACTAGCATGGCTTCCTCTAATCATTCACGTGATCTCCAGAGAGTTTTTAATTTTTTGATAACTGAAAATGTTTAGAAATGTGCATCCAGGTCTGCGTTCATTAAAATATACATTATAACAGACAGTCGAGGGACATGTGCTTGACTTTCATTCCAATAACTGCAGAAGTTCATGAGAATCAAGCAAAAATGTCCAGTCTTGTTTAAAATTCCTGGATTTACACCAAAAACTATTCACTTTTTCCCGGCCCCTAACTTTTTGAGTTCTTTAAGAAACAACACAGCCAAAAGTAAATTTATAACACTGTGCTGTTTTAATACTGTAGCAACGATCCACATAAACTGTAACATATAAAGTTGTTTTTTAGCTGCATCTTATTTTGTTTTCCTCTGTATCTATATATTTTGGTGCTTGGTTGGTACCATGAAGTATCTGACCTTTGAACTCCTAGTGACCGCTACATCTCAATTAACTTCATTCGAGACTTCCAACTAAATGTCTGTTCAGAAACAGCTGTGTCTGAATAGATAATTTTTGGACTGCTTTCTTCTGTTTTGAGCGGACGTTGGAGATTTCCTGAGAACTTACCCTCCCTAGGAGTACACTGTAAGAAAATGTTCATTTGCAGGAATTGCGCTGGAAGATAATACCGAGAATTGGTTTGGTATAAATTGAACATCCAGACCACACATCAGTTATGTCAATGATGTCACTGCAGCCGTGATTTGCTGGCTGAGATGTCCCAGACTGGGAAAAACACAGATGTTTTCTCCAGCTACAGTACAGAGTGCTGTTTGATGCAACATCCCATTTAATTGACTACCCTTATAATTAAACACATATTATAGCTTTGCAGCCCTTAAAATGTGTGATCATTTTGTGTTACATGTGTGTAAACATCCAGTGCGTAACATTTAGGACACTCCATTGGCAGAAATGGAAAATAATGTTTATAAGAATGTTTTCATTAGTGTATAATCACTTGAAATTAAGAATTGTTTTGTCGTGTTTGGTTTTCCTTAGAATGAACTGTTTTTATCTGCAGATGCCGTGGGCCACCATCAGCGGTTGCTGCCATGTTGAACCATCATGTTTCTGCAGTAACCCAGAACGGACTAACCAAACACTGGCTGTGGATAGGGCTGTTTGCATGTTTTGCACGTTCCGCGGTCGCCATAGTTTTTCCCTCACAATTGGAAAGGGAAAGTGAGTTGCAATCTGTAACTACACCGCTTGGTGCCACTAAATCCTACACACTGGACCTTTAAAAAGAATACGATTAGTTACACGAGTGGATTTGGAGTCTGGAGGACAGGAGATGCAAACAAAAAACAATACAAACAACTTTAACATGCCTTGCCTCGTTGATGGAAGTAAACATGTCCGTTGGGGCAAGCCAGCCATGTGTTGTAATGTGTTTACACTACTGACACATTCAGGAGCTGTGGGCTGAGGTTCTTCTATTGTTTGTTTCCTTGAACTGCTGGGTTGAAGTACTCGCCACATTTTGGGGATTGGTGAAAGACCTTAAACTTCATTTTAAATGAGATCCTGAAGACTGCGTGGGCCTGTTTGTGTAAGAATGGCCTGTTACAGTTAAGATAACAAATCAGTGAAACCAAGTCTCAATGGAAACTCTGTTTCTGATTTCTTTTGGAGCCCAATGCACACTGAGAACTAAACAAAGACTCACTACAGAGAGCATATAGTATCTGGAATTTCTGGTATCTGTGTTTTAAACCCACAGTGACAAACAAATGGCTAAGGCAGCATCTGTGCAAACGCAGGCTTTGAAAACACCACGTATACACAACTGGGGGAGAGAGAGCAGATGTAAAATATAAAATGGGGGATGGTTATTTACTTTTACACTGGCATTCCTAAGAACAAATCCAAGACTGGAGACGATTTAGATCTCACCAACACTGTCTCCTAAAAGTGGTGCCTATACACAATTTATCTGCATTAATAAATATGTTTTGTAGATTCTAAGTTGTATCAACATAGTGTAATGAGTAAACAAAGCATTTCATTTGTTTGACTGCAAACCATTAGTTTTTTCTAAAATAATACATGCTCTTTGGCAATTATAGCAAGATCCATGTGTATTAATTATATGTTTAACTCCCTTGGTTAGGGTTAGAGAAAGATCATAGTTTTTGTTTTTGAAAAAGCCAATACAGGGTTGACGCATGAGACAGGACCCATCGACTCTTTACAGTATTTAACCAAAACGTAACCAGTGGTAAGTGCTTAAGTAGCTAGTCGTAACACCATGTGGGGAATATGTACGAGCTTTGTATGGTAAATCTAACCACCCACCCCTACAAATTTGGGGCAAAATAAGGTTGTCACACTTCCTAGACTAACTTTTTTTTGTCAGAGAATGTAGTCCAGGCAACAATTACATTTACCTCCAAACTCTATTTGGCATAGCAAATTAGTAGTGTATAAACATATCTTTTAAGGCAGGGCTCAGCAACCTTAGGCACCGTGCCAATAGAGGGTTAGGGTTAACCAATGGCACATTAGCAATAATTGTGCAAAATAATTTTTGTGGAAGTGCTGCCCTCTAATCCGCATGCCAAATTGCCTCTTTTGCAGCCATTGGCAGTTGCAATGCCTATCTCATTAAAGCACCTCATGGCTGTATGATTTCAACTCAGATATTTTCATATTGATGGCAGCCTTCTTGTATAGTCTCGTATATAATTACAATGTCTTATTATGGCACTATTAAATTTTGCTATGCACGTTGCCTATAGGGATGAAATACAGTTACAGATCCTGTTGGAAATTAAACTTTTGATGAGGTGGCATAATCCAACATAATGTTAATCTTATGTTCATATGGCACACTGAATAACCAGAACATTTTCAAATTTCAAAATGGCTGCCGAGCACTGTCTTAAGGCAATAAGGTGGCACTGGAAGGACAGGATTAATGCAAGGTTGAACCCTCCTCTCCTTAACCTACTTCTGAAATGGTTTTTTTTAGGCCTTGTGGTTTTAACATGGCAGCCTAATGATGACATCCAAATGAAAGGCTAGCAAAAGATCTCATTATGTGTAATTTGGAAGGAACACTGCCCAGAAACCCCAGTCTATCCAGCACAAATGCAAATTTATAGGACGGAAATTCACACATTTCTGGAAATTGCAGTCGTATTCAGCTGTGCATTTATTGTAATATGCTGCTCAAATCTTTACGGTATACTCAGGCAGTCTGTAGTCTGAGACAATAGATGAAAGACCGCCCATGATCAAAGTGAATTAATCCACGTCGAAACACTTTTCCCTTTTGGGGCCAGACTCCGGGGTGACATTAAAAATTTACTTGCTGTGCTTGTTAAAAGTTCTTTGGTCTAGGATTAAATGTGTTGTTGATGAAATCCCCTTCCATTGCCCCCTCTCCCAGCAACCCCTGGACCACACCCTGGGTGCCCTGTGGCCTCATAAGTGGGACCCACGTAGACAGAACTGAGCCAAGGATGACGTTAAGACAAATTCTCATGAAGACGAACTGACTGGGGGAAAGGAGGGCTGCCCTTTCCATTGATCTGGACTAGTAATTAAACTTTCTGTGGAGTGATCAAAGCATTTGGGATAAAAATAAAACCCATTCTTTTACAATCATGGAGCAATTGTGGGTTCTTTTGCAGGGTTTAGGGGACCGAGTGACTCACCAGTGCAATTGCAAAACCATCCGGTTGTACCACCAAAAGAGGGTTACGTCAAAAATAGAGTAGAAAGTAGAAAGAAATCCAAGGTGTGTCCCAACCACTGACAGTTGTGTGATTTTGGCTTAGATATTGCCTAAAGCAATACACTGAAATAAATACAATGGGCAACACATTGTTTTTTAGATTATATGGCTGACATTGTATATACATATTGATGGGTAGGGATGGAAGAATAATTTCCACTGCATTCTCATCGAGTTCTCTTTTTCCTCATAGGAATTTTTAGTTTTATGTTTAATATTGGGCATCTCCTTTACAGTCTGCCTTCCTAATGAATCATCTGTTTTTTCTTTCAGCTTGATTACATTTAAACAGTGCCGTTAAACCCACTGTCTCCACAACAGTGCTGAAAATAGAGGATGGTCTAGCGTCATCAGGAAGCTGTTTAGTCTTTTGCTAATGCAAGGACAGTGACGGCTGGAGGCTTGTGTGTTTTATTTGGCTCTGAAATAAGCCAAAATGAAAAAGCCGGCTCAAGACCACACCACCTGCGCTGTTTAAAGGTTCCACACAGTCTGCGCTCCCTTTTAAGGTTGATAAACAACTGTATTTAGCTGTACGTCCATGTGTGCTGCATTCCAAAGCCAGCTACCATCTACTGATACCCAGGCACTAATGTGGGGATAGTTACGTGCAGGTACCTTGTTGTCCTGATGAGCTCCTGGCTTCCTACCCTGTCCTTACCACAGCAGTCTGCTAGCTTCTGTATCCGCCTAGTTTTGTGTAATTAAATGTAATTTTCTCACACACCACATGCATCTCAAATTTAATCAGTGCCACTGCCACCACCATGAGCACATAAAACGTGTCACATTTCTGCAAATCCTGACTTAAAAAAGGTGAAAAACTACTTTATGAATGGCTTCATGTATCTCTACAGTATCTTACATCACAAGTACAGGCCTCTGATGGGATATTAAACCCCTAATATAACTTGTGGACATTTTTTCAGTGTGTAATCAAACCCAGAGGACATTTCACTGGGTATTCCAATTGTTTGGTGGGTGTTCAGACTTGAGCCAGTGAACTGAACTGAGACATAGCACATTCCCTATCACATGCTGCCAAGAGCCAGCATGCGGTTCTGTACCAGAAACACTTATATTTTCCAGCTGCAGAGAGTTCCCTCACCAACCCACGGGGCAAAAATCCCTGTGGGTTAGATATTTGTGACTAAGCGTATAATTGCAAGCAATAAGACCGATACCTTTGCAAATCTGGGTTAACGCTGTGTAGTTTTAAGTCGGTTCGTGTTTGTCCAAGATTCACAGCAGGGAGGATTCACTTTTTATTGGTTGAATGTGTTTCTAACAGAGATTTGAAGTGTTAATTTTCTCATGACACACTAATTTCCATTAACTGGCCTGCCCAGCACTCATTTAAGTGTCATTTGCTGAACTACAGCAAAAAAGAATGTAGAGTTTTCTGGCACGGCTCTACATTTTTAGGGTTTATCAGGGCCTCACTGGATGGTAATTTAACTCATAAAAAAAGTTTGGTTTCTACTCCCTCTGCATTCAAAACCATGAACTTGGTGATGTCATTAAGTAAAACAATCTGGGCAGTGGCATTTGTAACTGCTATATGCAAAGAATTTGACAGACAGAAATGGTTTTAGCTTGGGGGGCAAGTCTGTTGCTACTAATAAAGAAAGAGAGACACAAATGAGACAAAGCATTGGTTTCAAGGTCACCAGACACTGAACGCAAGTAACAATTCCAGACACTGGAGACACAGATACAATCTGACGGTAAATGGAAGCAGGATTTAATATTTGGTTCCTGCTTTTCTCTTCATTTCTCCCATGGTGTGTGTGTGTCTACTGCTGTAGGGAAGCAGCAGTAGTTCTAATATGTGTCTAAAATCTAGTTAGCTTCATACACTGACAAAGGCTTGATAAGGCCAAGATGTTACCTACTGTATTGTGTAGAGAAACAATGGAAAGTTGAGCTGAAATCTTTAGCTGATTAAGCGATTAGCAGAAAAGTACTCTGCAGAAAATGTGAAAACTGATTCATTAAAAAAAAATAAAATAGGAGATGTTATCTTGGGATCTGGACACTTTTCACTATTTTCTTACCAAAAATTAGTCAGTCCCTTAAGGAAATAATCAGCAATTGAGCAATTGGTATGTTTTTTTGGAAGTATTCTGATCCATTAAATACTCATACAACACAAGTAATTAGTGTATATGTAGTGTATTACAGAAATTAAAAGTGTGTAAGTATAATCAGGACTGATTAATTGATATCTAATCATAATTGAACCATTCAACCAACTGATTGACTGACCAAATACTTAAGCTCAATTTTTATATATTGTTAGATAGTTATTTTTTTTTTTGGCAATGCATCATGTTTTAATTGATCCCCAGTCACGTGGTGGATGTGATATAAAAAAAGAAATGTAAGGGGGGGGGTGACTGAGAAAACTCTGAATAAAGCCTTGCACAGGAACATTGCTGTATTTTAAATGTGACTTTGTCTCCACGGTTTATTCTAACGAGGCTGAATGAGCAGTCTCTTCTGAGTAGATGTAGAAGGGGGAGTAGTGTTGGGCAGACAGACGCTGGGTGCTCAGGGGGAGGGGACCAGGGGAGGGATGTTTTAACAGTCAAGCAGTAGTGGGGGGTTCAAATACAGCTGTGCTTAGACACACTTTCGCGCAGGACGTCCCTGTGTCAGGGGTGAATACAGTTCTCTCTCCTCCACTCTCTCTTTCCACGGGCTGCAACTCCACCGACTGGCTGCAGTTGCAATTAAGGAACCACGCCTGTTGCTCTCCAATTCCCCTGATTTGCACTACTTATAAACTACCCTTCCCTTGGAGCAAAAGAGCAGTCTCAAGAGCTGCTCTTTTAGAATACTTGACATTCATTGGAGGATTTCTTTTATTTTTTTGGTCTTTATTATTTTATTATCGCGAGAGCGCATATTTAGGACCCTCCAGGGCTGATCCAGACCGCTGCTTTTCGTGCTGGGAGGTAATATTCCAGTCGGTCACCGGGAGCACGCACTACAGCAATGGAGTACCTCACGTTTAGTTTATTGTTGTTATGTTGCCTGAAGTTTGCAAACTCCATCTCCTCTACCGAAACACCTCAAGCTCCTGCGCCCATTCCTAAAGGTAAGCAAACTTTTTAAAGTTTTCCTATTGTTGTCCCCGACCCTCAAATGCAGCATAATGTACTCTCATAACGCACGGAGCTGCATATTATTTCTATTGCTCTTCCACATTTGATCCACCTGTTTTAGTCGCACATCTTCTGGCGGCATTTCAGAGCTGTCATATCAAGTTTGACCAAAAAAAAAAAAAAAGGGGAAATATCTATTCTCCAAGACTTCATTCACCGGCTACATGATGTTACTGTACATGAGGTGCAGGTTGCATGGCAGCGGCTGCCTGTGTGTGAATCCGGTATAGCGCTGCATAGGTTGGAAGCGTAAAATTACATGAAAGAGGCTCTTGCACAAAAGAAACTGCGGTTTCTCACAAGCCTGTTTTAATTTCATGTTGTTCGGCTGCGTGCGGCCCCGGCTTTTATATGCAGATGCCAGGCTGTAAAATGTCAGTGCGAGAAATAACTAACCAATTGGAGTGTCTTTGATGGTTTCAGGAGTTTTTTACCCTTTACATTTTTAGACCAGACTGAAAAAACAAAGGCAATCATACAGCTATTAGCCGTGATTTGCTATAGATCAGAATGCGTAAAAAAAAACATTAGTATTAGATTTTAATAGCAAACAAGCAATTATGTGCTGTAATGTTATAATTAAGTTCCATGGAGCGGAGCCAAGTACAACCTGCTCCAGTGCTCCCATGTTAAACCTTTATACTGTACATGTATAGGTTTACACTCCCCACCCCAGATGTGTCACAGTTTTATTGCCTTGTTTTAAAAAGCCCTTCCCCTGTTAGCATGTTGCTGTGGCTAAATTGCTCCAAATTGCCCCCAAAATCATTTAGGTTACACAGCTCCTTTAAAAACATTCACAGGGCATCTTGTAAAGAAACCCTGCAAACAACAACATAAGTTGGTACATATGTTTTTTTATATACCAGCCTTGGTGTTATAAGCACTGCAGGTTTATGTTCGATATAAATCTGGAAATCTGTTACTTTTGTAGTGATGCTTTTTTATTTTTTTGTGGGAGGCAGTCTTAAGTTCAGGGCACAACAGCTGCCTTCAGTCTCCACAGGCTTGTTTTGTCCGCTGGTTTTGACTAACTGGGTGTCTTTCACACAGTAGCCACATTAACTTTACGAGGGTTCAAATGTTTGCTTATGAAAGCCTTGTCAGTACACCTGGGAAGGGTTAGAGCACAAGTGATACAGCTTGTTTGGATGCACACACTAAATCTACAAAATCTCACCATGAATGGAATTTGAGGTAAATTTGGGCTATTGTAAATTAAAGCTGTCACACTAAATATGGCCATACCAACTGAATGCAAGTAACAATTCATTTAATTAGGTTAACCTGTGATTATTTAAAGTATTTTAATTGGGAGTTTCGTCAAATAAGTTCAGGGTTTAAAATAGCAAAATGTGATCTTGACTAGCAGTTTTCTTTAAGACTTTTGCACTGAACAAGGCACTGATGAATAATTCTATTGACCCGGTTACTGTGTTATGCAGTATAACATGAATAGTTGGCAGTGTTAAAGTATCTAAGGTTTTATGAAACAGAAGCCAAACAGACAATCCCTTGACCCAAAACACATTGTTTTAGGCAATTACACGTTATACGCCAGCGTTGTTGTAGCACAGAAGTTCTTTTGTTTCTCTCATTGTCCTGATTCAAATAGGAACAACTTGTTTTTGACTGGGAGCTATAAAACACTAGTCCACTAGTTATCAGCCATTTTGGGACCCGTCTGGGTCACAACGTCAGAAACACATTTGTATTGCATCTCTTATATGATGTGTTAACAGTGTGCAATATCAACTTGATGAGTCATGTGTTTTTCCAACCAAGTTCCCAGTCAAATACTTTTTTCCTTTTGCTGTCCGGAAGAAAGAAGGATGCAGGATATTGTTGGGAAAAGTGAAGCAAGTAACCAAGGCCTATTTTCCTTTTTCGGGAAAGGTCAGGTGACACGTCGTCCACCACGTCAAGGAGAACAAGTTGCACATACTGTTTTAGAGTGACTTTCCTTTTAGGTGGGGCAAGACGCTGGTCATCATGGTGACAGGGTTTTACAAAGCAGAGATATTGGTTAGTATTAATAAAATAATAAAAACGATACTGAAAAAAGAGTGCATTTACAGGTGGCATAAAGGTATTTATATTTTCTGATTTGTGTTGAATGCCAGCTGTGCCAGTAGAAAAGCAGGTAGAGTGTCTCTCTGTTGGTTCAGACTTAATGCTGCACATATATGAACAATGTGATTGTGAATGGGACTATGAAAGAAATAGGAATGCAGACTTCTGCCCATTTCTCACCTATGTGCACCTGGCTGGTCACTGTGAACAGCGGACGTGGCTGTTGGTTTGTCGGTTTTGGAGAGTTACAAAAATTGGCCGACGTAGACCCTGACTGTCCAGCCCTCAGTCTTAAAAGAGCCTCTCACTTCTTTCTGACAAAGTATGTATTGAATTTAACATGTAGTTCTTGTGGCGTGAATCTGAGCCACTCCATATCTCTGTGCATGCCTCTTAATAGTTTGCTACGACACAAATCCTTTTTAAAATGAGTATATGTTGCTTTTACAATCAGTCCTTTTACAATATTATTTACCAATAAGTAAAACAAACAAGTTTCAGATGACCATTCCAACTATTAATCTCTCTCAGGCATTCTATTTAAAAACAGTGTTAATCTCATAGTTTATCCAGTGTTTTCAGCGTCCTTAGCCTAACTGCTTGGTACTCTATGAAGTCTGAACGCGAGGATGCCCCCAACTGAAAATTGTAAAGCAGATCTGTCTTATATCAACAATATTTTTCAGAGTTGTGCTGATATTATATACTTGGACATTTTGTATTCCTGACAGTTATTGGGACATATTCTTGGTCAGTGTGTGGGAGACTAAGATAAACACCATTACTCAGTATGACCTGGTTTTCTCCACTGTCCAAAGGAATAGGCATCTTTAGATTAGACCTTTCCCAGACATTACTGACGTGTCAGCAAGCAGCATTTTATAGAGAAGAAAAGGAAACTCCACCTAAAGTTGTCCATGCCTTATATGCTGTATAATAGCTCTCTCTATTGCCTGTAATTCCAGTCTAACAAACTAACAAACCCTGTTGGCAGGTCAAGCCTGTAATCATGTCTTAGAACATTGTCACAATATCACCACAAGGTTGATTCCGTGGCTCATTTTCAGCCAAATATGCGTTGCGTTGTCTGCTTTTTCAGCCTGCATCTTTTCTCTTAACTCTGTCTGGGGTGTTTTCTGCTAAGTATCAAAAAGATAACAGTCAGATATCAAGCTGACAGTTCCCATGATGCAAAGTTTTCCTCTTAAGCAGTACTGAAAACAGTTGATATTTCAGCTATGTTGTATGGCAACAGTACAAATATCCCATTGTTCTACCTACTGTAGCAAGTAATTTTAAAAATGATGGCTGTAAGTGGGAATTGAGCTGAAGTTGATCTTGGGTAATTTTCCATGTATTTAAACTGTAATCATTAGTAGTTGTCAATATATTAAAGATAGTAAGGCTGTCATATTTACTGTGACATACCAATGTGATTTGGCTACAGGAAAATGAGATCATGACAGTAACATTTTCAGGAATAGGCAGGACAGAGTCTCAGCTTTTTACTGGGAGACAGCCTTGGTCAAATCACATCTATAATACATTCATACTGGAGAGAAAACAACAAAGACATGACTTTTATGAAAGTGTTCTAGGTTATTACTTTACGTGATTGTTTATGTAACTGATACACTTGTAAAATAGGTATTCCAGTTGCAAATTCACAAAATAGTGTTTTTTCTGTCTTTTTATGAACCAGTGACATCAGTTTATATTTAATAACCATTGAAGCCTGTTAAACCAAACCTGCTAGATGAAAAGAACATGCATGAAACGAAATCATGCACTTGGAGCAGCTCACTGCTTATCTTTAAAGCATATTCAATTCACTTTCCATGTAGAGAAACAGGAGCCGTTTCAATGTAACAGCATGTGGTTAAAATGTGATTACAATGCTTGGCCCCATATCCCCTTTGCAGCAAATATGATCAAACCATAATAGCTCATATGATAAAATTGTGTTTCTGCTTTCCCCTTACAGAAATTTCAGCATTAAAAATATTAATTAAATTGTTGACCTCTAAATGCATTATGTTGACCGAAATGAAATGTGTTCCTGTCAATGAAGGATCTAAACCCTACAGTGACACCAGACTGTGGCCAACAGAGGAAATGACTGTCCTAACTGTAATCATTACCACTGACAAGAGCAGTGTGCGACTTAAACCAAATTAAATTAGTTGTTGTTTTTTCTACAATATAGTTGCTAGTAAGCTATTCTTGATTCAAGATGACGTCTGACGGGACTACAAAATAGTTTCCCGGCCCAATGCTGGTGACATCATGCCACATCCTAAGACTGAAGTGCCTGTGGTTTGACATGTGTAATTGAAAACACAGCGTTTTTCTGCGGATGCACTACAGGGCCCTTGTATTATGGATATGGTGTGTTTTATCAATTATGGTGGCTCTGAAACATAGAAAAGGCTAGAAAATAAAATCTATTTTAGTTGTGGACTGTTGAAATAATGCCCACTAACCAATCTGTGAGCACTGGGGTTTTTAGTCCCTTGGGTATCCACCCCTCAAATTTGGCGACTACTGCTAATTACAAACACATGGAGTACTCACCTAGGAAGTGGTATTTTTTAGGCAAAAGGAATGTCTGCATGTCTCGGGGCTCCTGGGTTTTAGACATCAAAAGTGCTACTTATGTGCCAAAGCTACTTGTAGTCGCATTAAAATTCTAATACATTCTAAAGGTGGAAAATCTTTAAAAGTGACCGTAGGCTGGGCAGCAAGCTTCTATGAAATGAATGGATGGCAGAGTTATATAGGTGAGGACTTGGAATTAAAGACATGTTTTAGTCTAACAAATGAGATAAATTGAGTCCATTTATCCTTTTTATATACATTC